TGAGGAGGTACTTGAGTAGAGGCTCAATGTCTATCTACTTCCTTAACACTTAACATATATGTACATAGATCTATTTCCCTATAGTTATAAATATATTTACATATGTATATGTCTGCATTTAGACCTCTATAAATGTCCTTTGCCTCCTAGTTCTTTCCTCTATTTGCTTTTACTTTCCTCTTTCTTGTCCCACTATCATGTTCGCCCTTCATTTTGAAAATATGTTCCTTTTAACTATAAAGATAAAGCCCCCACTGGGCTCGCAGCTGTAGAAAAAACAAGTGGCAGGCTACATTAGACCTGGGTGCTGTAGTTTGCCTGTCGTGGTCTCTCATAAGATATCTAAATTTGATTTTTAAAATAGATCTAAACTTGAATAAGCCTGTTTAGTGTGGAAACTTTTCTAGAGCGGCATGCGGTAAATTCAGTCTAATGTTCAGTCCCATATATTCCCAAGTGCTTCTGAGTGACTAGTCTGGGCGGCTTTGCCTAGGGGAAGTGACATTTGCCAAGGGGAGGTGACATCAACTTGGTCAGGCCATGGTCATACGACCCAACACCCGCCAGGCGGCTGACGACGCGCTCCCAACTTCAGGGCGTAGCCCGTCAGCAAAAAAAGGCGTGGCATCCTGCAAAACACCGCGGTTCTGTCCATACGCTGTGCACACTGAAGAAGACAAACGCCTGCAGGTCCAGCGCCCTGCAAGAGCGTCACACTGACAGCTGCGAGGCCCCGCCCCGCCCGGCCACGCCTTCCGGGCTGCACGCGCGTGGACGCGCTCACGTCTCAGCAGGCGGGACCTTCGCGCATGCCTCGGAGTGTGGGCGGAGCGGCGCCCCACAGCCCCGCGAAGCTGAAGAGTCACCTCGGGTGGGTGGGCCGACGCAACCAGCCCTTGCGTCACTTCCGCCGTGGGCGGGGCGAAGCTCAAGGGGTGGTGCCCTGACCACTGCCCTGGAGTGTCCAGAGCTCGGAGCTGATGTAGGCCCGCGGGAGCGAACCTCAGTGCCCAGAGGAGGCGCGTTGCCACTGTCGCCGAAGTAACTGCGACCAGCAGCCCGTAAGTGATGGGTGGGAGGCGGGGAAGGTCTGTAGGTGGCAGCCTGGTTGCCCGGGCACCTGTTCCACCCTCCTGATCTTATCTCGCCTAGCCTGATCGCAGAGTGATTGCAGCGTCGACGGGTCGGGGGGCGCCCGGCTCCTCGGACATCCGTTGAATGAGGTTACGAACCGGGCCGTGAACCCCTAGTCCGGGGGGTGTGCGGTGGCCTCCGCCCTGTCCTCCCGTGTTGGCAGTGCCGCCGCCGACCGCAAACTGTTTTGGTTGCTCAGGCCCCGCCCCGCCGCGACTGGACCCCCAGCCTCCCGGCTTCCCGGGATCTGGCTGGTGCTAGGATCTGGGGTGTCCTCCAGCAGTTCCATGGTGTCACCTCCCGGTTTCCCAACTCTGCTTCCTTACAGACCTGATCTGCCCTTGTGCACCTGTAGCGACTCCACTGCTTGGTCTGGTTGCCAGCGCTTGCTTTTAACTCCCTCCACATTAACCCTGCCCTTGACTGCTGAGGCTAAGCGAATTCAGGGGTGTGCTTTTAAAAAATTGGAGCTTCGTGAATCATTGGGTTGCACCAGTTCCCGTCCCTGCCTTTTCTGTCTTTACGCTGAGAAGAGCCTGGTTTACAGGCCTAATAGAATAATCTCTCTTGACCAAACAAAATAACTTCCCAGAAGAGATACATGGTAGAGGCCATCACCTCCACTTTAATTTAGTTTTCCTCCCTGAACGTTGCGTCCTTGGTCTACAGACCTAATTATTCACGTCTTAAGAAAGCGCAAGAAAATATTATTAAAATGGTGAAATAAACAGAATCCTTAAAATATATATATTAAAGCTGTACACTAAGGAGTTTATGCCCCTGTTGTGAGACAGTTTTAAGTTTATTGGAGCTGTTGGGCTCATTTAAACTTATTGTAGCTCATTTAACTCCTTGTAGTTGTTGTAAACTCACTGTAGTTATGTTGTGCTTTTAGCTCATTGTAGCTGTGCAAATTAATTATTCTTTCAATAGAAAAATCAAAACTCACTGCCATTGAGCCAATTAGGCTCATATTAAGAACTTGAAAAAAATTCTCAATTTGTTGATCCATTAAATTTTTTTTCTGAATACTAATAAAGGTTTTCCATTTCTGTATCCCATTTAAATCCAAACCCTATACAGTAAACTGTCCTTTAGAGCCCATGATCTTGAGTGTAGGGTTCAGTTTCACTAGTTATTTATTCACCTGCTTCAAGGCAATACACGCACCCTGCAGGGTAGACCCGAGAACAGCTTGTGCTTTGTTGCTGTTTTTCTCCAGAAGCCAACAGAGGCAGGAAGTCTGAGGGCACAGTAGGTAAGCACTTGACTGCTGACTGCTGAGAGGCTGGTGAACCTTGAAGAAAGAGCGGAGAGTCTGCTCCCAGAGATGACTGCCTTTTACTCTGCCCTCTAGGATACTGTGAGTTGGAAGCAACTCGGCAGCAGTGGGTTTGGTTTTTATAACGATAGAGGAGTTGTACTGAACCCTAGATCACACACTATACTGTTTGTAGAACATGTATATAATTTCTTAGTCGAATTGTTCCCTCCCATGCTGAATATTTTATTCACTGGATCGTTGACCCATTATTTCATTTTATTTCCCTCTGCTGTTTTGTTGTTGTTATTGTTTTTTCATTTTCGTGACTGTATACTACTTACAATTGACATTTTCTCCATGTTCAAGTGCATAGGCCAGTGGCCGTAATCAGTCCAATGTTGTGCAATTATTAGCACTAGATGCTTCCAAACTTTCCATCACCACACAGAAATTCTGTACCCATTAAACAATCACTCTCCATCCTCCCCTCCCCCAGCCCAGGGCCACTATAGTCTACATTCTATGCATTTCTCTCTTCTCATATTTTATGTAAATAGGGTTACATAGTATCTGCCCTTTTCTTTGTGGATTATGTCACTTCACCGAGTTTTCAAGGTCCCTTCATGTCATGGTATGTATGGACTTCATTCCTTCTTATAGTGGATTCTTAATATTCCTTTACTTCTTAAATGTTTACACCTCCTTGTACTTTTTGTTTGGTTTCTTGTCTCGCTGGGACATCTTTTCTTGATTTTTTTTTTTAGAACAATTTTACTCCTATACATTTTGGTTTCTTTGAAATGCTTTCTTTCCTCTTTGTAGTTTTCAAGTTTGACGCCCAAGGAACACTTTAGTCGGTCCAAAATATTCTGAAATTTTATGGAAAGATGAAGTCTGTATTTACAAACAAGTGTTTTTCAAGGAAAACCACACCAAAAAAAAACCAGGCTCACAGCCATCAAGTCTATTTTGAGTCATAGTGACCCAGAACACAGGGTAGAAGCGCCTCTGGGTTCTTTTTTTTTTTTTTTTTTTTGTATTCTGAAAGAACTCCTTAATATCAAGGTTTTTTTTGTTTTTTGTTTTTTTAAAAAACATTTTATTAGGGGCTCATACAACTGTTATCCCAATCCATACACACATCAATTGTGTAAAGCGCATTTGTACATCGTTTCTCAAAACATTTTCTCTCCACTTAAACCCCCGACATTAGGTCCTCATTTTTCCCCTCCCTCCCTGCTCCCCCCTCCCTCATCAGCCCTTGATAGTTTATAAATGGGTATTTTGTCATATCTTGCCCTGTCCGACGTCTCCCTTCACCCACTTTTCGGTTGTCTGTCCCCCAGGGAGGAGGTCACACACAGTTCCATGTAATCGGTTCCCTCTTTCCTACCCATTCTCCCTTTACCCTCCCTGTTTTGCCACTCACACCACTGGTCCTATAGGGCTCATCCGTCCTGGATTCCCTGTATTTTCAGTTTCTATCTGTACCAGTGTACCTCCTCTGGTCTAGCCAGACTTGCAAGATCGAATTCACTTTCTGTCATTTAAATTTTGATTACACACTTTCCTGGTGAGGAGGAAACATTTAGGAGCTCTAGATAAAGACATGTACATATGCAAATATATTATATGAGGATGGGGAAATAGATCTATGAGCCTACATTTATAGGTTTAGTATTAAGGTAGCAAGAAGGACATTGGGCCTCCACTCAAGTACTCCGTCAACACAAGAATACTTTCTTCTAGTAAATTGGCATTCTATGATGCTCACCTTCCCGACACAACCACTGAAGAAAAAGTGGGTGAATAAGCAAATGTGGTGAAGAAAGCTGATGGTGCCCGGCTATCAAAAGATATAGCGTCTGGGGTCTTAAAAGCTTGAAGGTAAACAAGCGGCCATCTAGCTCAGAAGCAACAAAGCCCACATGGAACAACATATCAACCCGTGTGATCATGAGGTGTTGAACGGATCACTGAAGACAAATGGGTGCATAAGCAAATGTGGCGAAGAAAGCTGATGGTGCCCGGCTATCAAAAAGTATAGCGTCTGGGGTCTTAAAGGCTTGAAGGTAATCAAGCGGCCATCAAGCTCAGAAGCAACAAAGCCCACATGGAAGAAGCACACCAGCCTATGCAACCACGAGGTGTCGAAGGGATCAGGTGTAAGGCATCATCAGAACAAAAAATCTTACCATAGTGAATGATGAGGGGAGCGTGGAGTGGAGATCCAAAGACCATTAGTAGGCCACTGGAGATCCCCTTGCAGAGGGGTCTCGGGGAGGAGATGAGCCAGTCAGGGTGCGATGTAACAATGATGAGAAATACAACTTGCCTCTGGGTTCTAAGACTAACAGTTTAGGGCAGTAGAAAACCCCATGTTTTTTGGCAGAGTCGGTTGTGGTTTCAAACTATTGTCCTTGCTGTTAGTAACCCAGTGCATAAGCGGTTCACCAAATTCTATGGCCCTCAGATACACAAGAACTATGTTACGCTTAACTCTGCTTCGGTAAATTCACTCAGTTTTTTTTCACTTGTCCTGGTCTGGGTAAGTCCAAATAGAAATCCATGACCTGTATTCCTATAGTTCACCTCTATTTTAATGTCCGTCACGACTTAATCCTGTCACTCTCAACTAAAACTCTTTTCTGGTATTAAATTGGCCCTTTTCCAAGTTATCACATATTCATAAATGGGAAGTTTCCTGTGTCTCGTGATTAAAAAGCCTAAAGTTACTTGAAACCGCCCTTTCCTTACCTTATTCTGGTCTGCCAGCCAGGCCTGTGCGTGCTGCTGTCGGGTCTGCATTCCCCACTGGCACAGTCTGGCGCAGACTAACTCTCTTTCCCATTTCAGCCCTGTTGCCCCTACTGAGACCTGGATGACCTTAGGTTTGCATTATTGCAATAATTCAGCCCTCTATAAATCCATCCTTTGCAGCCTGTACCCAGCAGTTCCCATTTCCACTGGCTAAAGCTCCCTATCGATTGTTAGCGGTTGCTCCAAGCCTCTCCTGTCTATTTATACTTCAGTTTCATCCCTGCTCTTTTCTCAGGCGATGACACCATTATTCTCCCTATCTCCTTACAACCTAACTTTTGTTCATACTTGAATTTATCCTCACAACTCTTACCTACAATTTACTAGTGTTGGGATTCAAGAGCAATTGAGTGAGTCTTGTTGATTTTGCTGCTCACAAATTCTTAGTAATTTTTGCTTAATTGTTACAGTTACTGAGAGACATGTTTTGAATTCCCTCATTATGATCCTGCCCATATTTGTCTAATCTCCCTGTAGCTGTGCCCATTTGGTGCTTTCTCTGCTGTGTTTCAGTGCCGAGTTGATAAGTGTAATCATAATGAGCCACTGGTAGTATCGTATTGGAAAGACACACTGTAAACTCTTGGCTGTAGTTTAGGTCTGCTTGCTTTGTCTACTGCATAGCTGGGTCCCATCCTTATCAGTCGTTCTGTGTTCTTACCGTACTTTCCTTCGGCTGCCCTCTTGTTCTTGCTTTTCCTTAAATGCACCAAAGCTCATCCCTGTTGACAAGGCCTTGGTTGCTTTTCTAGAATTAGTTTTTCTTCTTATTTTCTCCCAGATTCTTATTACCATTTGTTTCTGGACATCCTTCACATCTCTGCTAAAATGTCAACTTCTTTCCTTTCTTTATCACACCATCTGTGACAGATGCCGTGGTGCCCTACCCTTGTGACAGTCCTCAATTTGACACTATGCTGTATGCTAGTTATTTGTGGATTTGGTTATAGATGGATTTGCTTTCCAAGGCCTAGAATTCTGCCTACGGTTTAGCAAGTAAGTGAATTTAACCTTTCGTTTGGTAGTGTTCTCTTTTGAATCCGTATTTACTGTACTTTGATCTAAACTCTCCTTAAAATGCCTTTTGTTTTCTTTTGGTTAGAGTAGGCCTAGGCTATCATCATCCTCATTTCTTTAGGTTGAACTTTTCTTTGTCATGAAGTTACAGGTGTGTCTTGCAATGAGCATGTAGCTGGATTTTTTCATTTATAAAATGTTGCCCTCCTTGTTCCCTCTTTGTAAAGTTTTCTGCATGCCTCTTTCTTATTGTCCTTTCTAGTATGTCTTTGAACATTTTAAACAGCATTATTTACTTTCTGTCATTTAAATTTTGATTACACACTTTCCTGGTGACTGTATTTGATGATGATCTCTCAAGATGACTGTGCTGTTTTGTGTGGGTGTGCCATTTGCTCTGAGTTGTGAAAGTGCCCTCACCAGGTGGCATCAGGTGAGCCTGCTGGGGCCCAGTGGAGCTGACCAATTCTGACCAAATTTTATTTGTAACAGAGAGGGTAGTGTGGCTACCGATCCAGACCTGGGGTCCCTTTTGTACCTGGTGGTCCTCCACATTGGGTCTTGAGTGTCGCTTTTTATCCAGATTATACTTGTTGTATTGGGCCTTGTTGGAAGGTGAGGGGCTTTTTTCAGTTTATCACCTGGATGACAAGTCTTCAGGTGCTCAGAATAGTCAGGAAGGCCAACATCTTCAGCTCCGGTTTGGCTTCTTTTAAAAACATCTTCTGTATACCCACCCATCCTCATCAAGTTGTCCCCTGGGTTTTCCAAAGCTATAGATCTCTATGAAGCAGACTGCTATCGCTCGCTCCTGTGGAGCTGCTGGTGGGTTAGAAATGTTGAGGGTTTTTTATTTAATCATTTTATTGGAGTCTCGTACAACTCTTATCACAATCCATGCATCCATCATTGTGTCAAGCACGTTTGTACATTTGTTCCCATCATCATTCTCAAAGAAATGTTGCGTTTTTGCTTAGCAGCCAAGGACTTCACCACGGCCCCACCAGGGCTCCTTCCTCTGTACATATGGACAGTTATAAGTCATACTTAAGCAGTCTGCAGAGAATGATTTTAGTATTCACACAGTCATCTTTTGGATGGCTAGAGTAGGTTCCTTGCTTCTCATCACTTCCCTTGATTGGTGTGCTGCTGTTGGACTCACCTCTCAGCCATCCCTTAGCTTACGTGACTTCCACACAGTGAGCTGTACTCTGGGGTGAGAGTTACAAGCTTCTGTATAATCCGAACCTCTTCAGTATCAT